CCCTTGGGTCATCTCCCATGCTGGTCTCCACGCCCACACGCCCACTCGCACGCCCCAACTGCTTGTTGGGCGGCCTCGTGCAAGCGGAGGACGGGGGACACAAATGTGACGTAATTCATCAACAGTTACAGCCACCAGCTGTTGGTGAGGGCAACAACAGTGTACAGTGTATAGCAGGGTATACTGTGGCACAGCAAATAACAGGATATACTGCGATACAGTGAAAGAAACAGAGAGAGAGAACGGGGAAAGGGAAAGAGAGAGGGGGGGAGAAAGAGAGAATTTGAAAGGTGTTGATTTGTCCTTTTTATGCTGTAAGTGTTCAGGATTGAGGCCCGTGTTCACCCAGGAACACCTAAGTACTGTAGAGCTAAGGTAGCGAGTACCACCTGTGTTAAACACTTTATCTTTACCTTGTCAAGTCCTCTGAGAATTTTGTAGGAAGTGATCATGTCTCCCTTCACTCTTCTGTCTTCCAGGGTCGTGAGGTTCAGTTCCAGTAATGTGTGTGTACTCACCTAATTATGCTTGCGGGGGTTGAGCTTAGGCTCTTTGGCCCCGCCTCTCAACCGTGTGTGTGTGTGTCTAAACTTTCCTACCACCATACACTGATAATTTTCTCCCCCCTCACCCCCCCCCCACAACCGGAAAAAAGCACAACATTATTATACATTAATAATTGCACTTCAAAAACGATTGCAAATAAAAATGTGCCTTTCTTTGTGCCCCCTAAACACGGGTCATAGAAAATGGAGCTTAACTACAATACAAGAATGACGTCAGTTATTTCAGCGTATAGTTTTGTATTATTACTTGCGATAATTTTTCCCCAAAAACATAATACCCAAAAGCGGAAAATTCAAACATCGAAGAAAAATATGATAAGATGAATAACAATACTATCCAGCCCAATTAATGAGTTGTGTCGGCCTCCACGGTAGTTGAAGTTATCGTACAGTGTTGGAGTTGTTGTACTGTGTTGAAGTTGTCGTACGGTGTTGGAGTTGTCGTACTGTGTTGAAGTTATCGTACAGTGTTGGAGTTGTTGTACTGTGTTGAAGTTGTCGTACAGTGTTGGAGTTATCGTACAGTGTTGAAGTTATCATACTGTGTTCAAGTTATCGTACAGTAATCTCACAGAGGCTTAGTTATGTATTCTGACAATCAGTGTCACCAATCAAGCCTCAGTTGTCAGTTTGATTGTTCATAGTGTGTTGACAGGTGAGTTCCCGACAGTTATCGACGCTGATTCAAGATATTCGAGCACGTTCCGTCTACTGGAAGAGGTAGAGAGGGAGGAAGATCACTAGACTCACTGTATTCAACACTACTGAATTAAATTTTTGATTAGTAAGAATTTGGATGGCAAAAATCGTTATTTTTTAATATTTAAGGTGTGCTTTAAGCCGTCCAGGTGTGCTTTAAGCCCTCCAGGTGTACTTTAAGCCCTCCAGGTGTGCTTTAAGCCCTCCAGGTGTGCTTTAAGCCGTCCAGGTGTGCTTTAAGCCCTCCAGGTGTGCTTTAAGGCCTCCAGGTGTGCTTTAAGCCCTCCAGGTGTGCTTTAAGCCCTCCAGGTGTGCTTTAAGCCCTCCAGATGTGCTTTAAGCCCTCCAGGTGTACTTTAAGCCCTCCAGGTGTTCTTTAAGCCCTCCAGGTGTGCTTTAAGCCCTCCAGGTGTGCTTTAAGGCCTCCAGGTGTGCTTTAAGGCCTCCAGGTGTGCTTTAAGCCCTCCAGGTGTGCTTTAAGCCCTCCAGGTGTGCTTTAAGCCCTCCAGATGTGCTTTAAGCCCTCCAGGTGTACTTTAAGCCCTCCAGGTGTGCTTTAAGCCCTCCAGGTGTGCTTTAAGCCCTCCAGGTGTGCTTTAAGGCCTCCAGGTGTGCTTTAAGCCCTCCAGCCCTCCAGCTGTACTTTAAGCCCTCCAGGTGTGCTTTAAGCCCTCCAGGTGTGCTTTAAGGCCTCCAGGTGTGCTTTAAGCCCTCCAGGTGTACTTTAAGCCCTCCAGGTGTGCTTTAAGGCCTCCAGGTGTGGTTTAAGCCCTCCTGGAGCGTGTTAGAGCCCACATTGTCGTCGCAAGCCTCCCAGGGGCTCCATCGGACGCCAATGTCACCAACTACTCTCCCGCCCTCCCTGGCTGTATGGCTGGGGTCGCTGACGGCGCCCACCTTCTCTCACCTGTCTTCAACACTCTCTCCAGCTCCTTCCCTGCTTTCTGCTATTTAGAGAAATTTCGAAGACATATTTTGCTGTGTGTTTGAGGTCGTTAGGACAGCTTGGTGTGTGCCCCGAGCCGCCTCTTTGGGACAGGTCACAACCAGATGGTCCCGGGGTCGATCCCCGGGCAGGGCGAGATGTGGGGGTGGCATCCTGGGGGAGGTTCAGTAGTTGGGTGAAGGGGAACTGGATAAGGTTAACGAGCCTTGTCTCCCACAGCTCTGAGAGCGTCTGTGGCAGTCTCGTCCCGGGACTCACAGACTCTCACCCCCAACCCCTATTTTTCTCACCCCATCTGTCTTCTCTATCTCATCTCTCTCTCACCGCTCTCTCAATATTTGTACATGATTTATCCCTATGTATGGCGTCTAACGTATATACACACACACAGGCAACCTGTCCCCGTAAAACAAAAACACTAGTGTCTATGTTGCCAATAAAGGAGGTCGAACAATTACAGTAAAGCATGAATAAATTTAGATAACAATTGGCCCATCACAGTGGCGGCCATTGGTCAAAACTCTCACTTTTCTCTCCGCCATTATTTTTGGGTGATTGTTATTGACTGTTGGTAATATTGTTTCTTATAGAGTGTGAGCGCCCTCTGGCCTTTGATGTATTGTGATGTATTCACCATGGTTCACTATTTTTAATTCCCTCTTTCCAAATATTCAGTTTTGTTTGCGCAGACAAAGAATTTCCTGACGTCACTGCGAGCGAGGCTTCTAATTGGCGGGAGAATTGACCGCCAATGAAAGCTGGATTTCGTTAAACAGTAGTTTTGTGGGTTAACTTATGCGGGTAATTATACTTTGAATTAGTCTGGGTAATGATCTAGAGGCCGAACTTGGCTCATATATTGTGTTAATTAAGGCCACACTGGCACCCACCAGGCTCTCCAACACTGGCACCCACCAGCCTCTCCAACCACACAATTATGACATATTTGGTAATCAGTTTTGGCCACATGTGGGCCACGCGCCCATAAATTGTTAATCTATTTTTTTGATGCGTGGAGCAAGTGGCTAACTCAAGTGTTATACTCGAAAATATTATAGATTTGCAGACATTTTTGTCGACGAAGGTTTAAACGCACATTATATTCCCCTCCAAGACGAGCAGCTGGAGTGAAGATGACTGTGGCTGTCACATATGTCCAGCTACTCACCTATATGTGGCTCCAGGGCCAAGCTCTAGCTCCCGGTCCTCGCTTCTCCGTCCCATGATGCAGTGATGCGCCGTTTGTCTTGTGTACTCGTGATCTGTGCGGAAGTTCATTCCCCATGTTCACTTCAACAGGGCGAGAGTCATAGGGACCATTGTGCAGGGTGGTGGAACAGTGTGTGGACGCCAAAGAGCTCTGGCTCTTTGGTCCCGCCTCTCAACTGTCAATCAACTGGTGTACAGATTCCTGAGCCTACTGGGCTCTATCATATCTACATTTGAAACTGTGTATGGAGTCAGCCTCCACCACATCACTGCCTAATGCATTCCATTTATTAACCACTCTGACACTGAAAAAATTCTTTCTAACGTCTCTATGGCTCATCTGGGTACTAAGTTTCCACCTGTGTCCCCTTGTTCGTGTCCCACCTGTGCTGAAGAGTTTGTCTTTGTCCACCCTGTCAATTCCCCTGAGAATTTTGTAGGTGGTTATCATGTCTAATGGCTGTGGTGTTATGAAGATGAAGATTAAGCCACCCAAAAGGTGGCACGGGCATGAATAGCCCGTAAGTGGTGGCCCTTTTGAGCCATCACCAGTATCAATAGATAATACTGGAGATCTGTGGAGGTGCGACTGCACCCTGCGTGACGGGAGATGTCTCCCGGACCAAATGGTGGTCACCTTGTGTGGTGTTATGTATGGTGTCCTCTTTTATATAACACTATTACGGGCTATTCATGCCCGTGCCACCTCTTGGGTGTGGGTTAATCTTTATCAATCATAACACTATCATCGCATCACTACACCACACAACCACACCACACGACCACACTACACAACCACACGACCTCACCACACAACCACACCACACAACCACACTAAGAGAAGAGCTTGGCCCCTGAGTTTTACATATATATAAGTGGCGTTGAACACATATTGTTGAACAAAGAAAGGCTATGCATGAACACGGCAGCCCTCATGTTTTTTATCTTTTGTCCTATTAAAAACAAAACTTCAAACGGGCGGAAATAATTGATATATTGGAAGTATGTACCCCCCCCCCCCATGATGACCCCACTCCCCCCCCCCATGATCCCCCCTCCCACAGAACCCACTACCCCTCCCCCCTAACTCCCTACATGACCCCTTCCACCTCAATAAGCCTCTCCCCCTCCCCCTCCCCCCTCCATGGCCTCCCTCCCTCCCCATGATCCTGTCCCTCTCCTTCCCATGATCCTTTCCTATTCCCCACAACTGACCTGCTGCCCCCCATGAACCAGCTCTCTCGCTCCCATGACTTTTCCACCCTTTTCTGTGACCTACTCCCCCCCCCCCCTATTTCCTCTCCCAGCGTACTTTCCCTCTATTGTTTCCATCATGGCGCCTGTTGCTTACTGTTGAACACCTGTTATCAGTGTCCCCGTTGCGCCATCGTCCTGTAGAGAGTACTGTTGACCAGACCACACACTAGAAGGTGAAGGGACGACGACGTTTCGGTCCGTCTTGGACCATTCTCAAGTCGATTGTGATTATTTGAGAATACTAATCAACGCGTGAACAACTATCCCATATGGACCTGTCGTACCGTTGGCTCACCGTTGATGGCGTCTGTTTACCGTTACAGTGTCGCACCTAGACGGCCCGCAGCTGCGGCTGCGGCAGGTCAGCAGGACCCACATGGGCGCCTACCTCTGTATCGCCTCCAACGGTGTCCCTCCCTCCGTCAGCAAGAGGATCACCCTCGATGTCGAGTGTAAGTAGTAGTGGTGGTTGTAGATACTGGGTCGAGATGGGTTGTGGGGTTGACCTATACACTAACCCCCTTCCTCCCTCTCTCTCACCCCTCACAGTTGCGCCTCAGATGCATGTGCCCAATCAGCTTGTAGGGTCGCCGGTGAGCACGGAGGTCCACCTCGAGTGCTTCGTGGAGGCTCACCCTCGAGCCATCACCTACTGGGAGTACCGGGACGCTATGGTGATGAACACCACACGTGTCACCACACACACACTCGAGGACAACTACAAGATCCATATGGTGCTTGATATTCGAGGTATGGTGACTACCATGTATGGTGACTACCATGTATGGTGACTACCATGTATGGTGACTACCATGTATGGTGACTACCATGTATGGTGACTACCATGTATGGTGGGGCTTGATATTACAGGTGTGTATGGTGACTATCATGTATGGTGACTACCATGTATGAAGCATGGATCACACACACGAGTGTCTTGAGGTGGCGTTGGGTCTATATATATTGGTATCTATTAATGGAAATGTTTGTACAAGACTGGGGGCCAGAGGCTTGTGGCTAGCCTCACCCAATTTTTAACTGTTATTGCTGTGGTGTATGGGCCCCAAATTGGGTGAGTTTGAGACAGACTGAGCCACTAACAGACACAGAGACAGAGAGACAGAAACAGGGCCAGAGAGAGACAGAGATTGGGTGTGTCGTCTAGTATCCTATTAATGTTACTCACAAATTTCTTGGCGCAAATATGTCACTTTAAATTGGCGCGCGGCCAACTGTCAGCGGGGCGGAGCCTGAGGGGAGGGGCAGCTCTCGTACCGGCTGCCTCGCCTTATTGACGTACCGGGCACACTGTTCCCTGTCATCTACAAGCGTCAGTTTTCCATTGCTCCTTTTTCCTCTTCCCGAATTGCGTAATTCCTCTTCCACGTGAAAGGTACGACAAGAGGCATTACCCAATTGTGTGGGTAATTCACAGGAAGCTTCAATAGGAAGAATTCAGAAAGGAACGCAGGACTTGGGACGTGAGCTACCGCACTCCATGACGCCTTGACAACATTTGACCAATTGCATGTCGGCTCGCTAACGCATGACGTCATAGGCCTATTGGTCGTTTCAGATTAGGTGAACAGTTAGCGTGGTTGAGTGTCGAATGACCAGAGCTACGCCAGGTGCTGTCTGACATGACTTAACAAGCCATCATTGAGACCAATCTTTACACAAAATTATCAATGTTAACTTTTGGCCAGTCCTAACTACTGAAACACGGCATGGACAGTGAAGTGTGTGTGTGTGTGTGTGTGTGTGTGTGTGTGTGTGTGTGTGTGTGTGTGTGTGTGTGTGTGTGTGTGTGTGTGTGTGTGTGTGTGTGTGTGTGTGCGTGTGTGTGTGCGTGTGTGTGTGTGTGTGTGGAGCAGGATAATGAGCAGTACCTCTCCACAGACCTCCAGGACGGGGACTTCGGTATGTACAAGTGTATCTCCAAGAACTCCATCGCTGAGACAGACGGCTCCATCACCCTCAATAGTAAGTCATTTGTTTATGAAAACGTTTAGTAATCTGTATAAAACAATTTCTTTGCCTGTTTGCCTATCCAAGGTTGGATCAATGGACCCCATTGCTCCCTCTCAAAGAGAATTGGCTCCCATTGAGACCCCCTTTAAGCCTCTGGAAATGAAATAGTGGACACGGAGTCCATAGAGTTTCATCATCTGTTATACATGTAAAAGGTATGATCTGATGGTAGATTCCCATCATGGGTGTTCCCAGCACTTACCTGTTGCCACTGTTGATGATAGCAACCATCCCACACAACACACCAGGTCACAGTTGGTTAGGTTCACGTTTGTTCCCTCAAATATAAAAGTGTATAACCACACCCTGGCCAACATTACATTTTCTTCATGACAATATTGTCATCCTTTCTTGTACCAACACGAGACAGTAGCCATGTTGACTGTCTCGTTGTGGCAACTATAGAGACAAACTACAGTTCCCAGCATGTAGTGACCCTGTAGTACACACACACACACACACACACACACACACACACACACACACACACACACACACACACACACACACACACACACACACACACACACACACACACACACACTCTGTAAACAACCGATAGCTGGAAAGGCGGGATCCAAGAGTCAATGCTCGATCCTGCAAGCACATATAGGTGAGTACATATAGGTGAGTACACACACACCCTTGACCTGACGTAGCCAAGACTGCAGTAATCATGAGGTCACCACAAGGGCAGAATCTTTCCATGTTACCAATTACTTCCTCCCAGCACCAGGTGAGAACCGTTGAATTAATCAACTTCTCCCTGATGAGGCATCTGGCAAGATATTATGTGAGCAAGATGAGGAAGATGACTTGGGTTATGAGGCTTGTCACAGGAGCGGACCAAGGGGGTATTTTTTGACCATTTCTTAAAGGTTCCAACACTAATTGTTGAAGCTATGGTGTGTGGTGGTCATGGTGGCTGTGTGGTGGTTATGGTGGCTGTGTGGTGGTTATGGTGGCTGTGTGGTGGTTATGGTGGCTGTGTGGTGGTTATGGTGGTTGTGTGGTGGTTATGGTGGTTGTGTGGTGGTCATGGTGGCTGTGTGGTGGTTATGGTGGTTGTGTGGTGGTCATGGTGGCTGTGTGGTGGTTATGGTGGTTGTGTGGTGGTCATGGTGGCTGTGTGGTGGTCATGGTGGCTGTGTGGTGGTTATGGTGGCTGTGTGGTGGTTATGGTGGTTGTGTGGTGGTCATGGTGGCTGTGTGGTGGTCATGGTGGCTGTGTGGTGGTCATGGTGGTTGTGTGGTGGTCATGGTGGCTGTGTGGTGGTTATGGTGGTTGTGTGGTGGTCATGGTGGCTGTGTGGTGGTTATGGTGGCTGTGTGGTGGTTATGGTGGTTGTGTGGTGGTCATGGTGGCTGTGTGGTGGTTATGGTGGCTGTGTGGTGGTCATGGTGGCTGTGTGGTGGTCATAGTGGCTGTGTGGTGGTCATGGTGGCTGTGTGGTGGTTATGGTGGCTGTGTGGTGGTCATGGTGGCTGTAGAGGAAGGCGGGTACACTACAGTAATGATCTTACCGAGTTCCTCTCTCACTTACAGAGACGTTCAGGACAACCTCGGCCCCGCAGACCAAGTCCCATCACCCTGCAGTAGACGGTACTGTCACCCACCCCTAGTGTTGCTGTCACCGCCTTGTCATGCTGCTGTCACGTCCCTGTTATGCTACTGTCACGGCTTTGTCATATTACTTTCACGTTCCTGTCATATTACTGTCACTTGTATCATGCCCGTCACATTCTGATAGTCTACCGTCACTCCCCTACAGAGGACGACCCGACCTACTGGAGCCCAGAGCGCCAAGACAGGAAGGACTCCAAGAGAAAGCTGGAGGAGGAGAAGGAAACGAAGCAGCGGCTGGAGGAGGAGCAGACCAGGAGACGGGCGCAGGAGCGGAGGCGGAACCAGGAGCTGGAGCGTCAGAGGCTGGAACACGACTATAACAGGAACCACATTAACAACCAGGTCACCAGGGTCACCAACGCCCCAGGTGAGGTCACTCCGGTTATCCTGCTTGGCTCTTTACTGTTCCCCCCCCCTCCCCGCTCAGCTCGTTGTCGCCGTGTGGGGGCTTAGTGGGCGGCTGTCGGAGTGTGATGCTCCTTGGGACAGTCCTCTGTCCTTTTCTAGCCTTGTGCTCCTGCTGCCGTCCTCTCCGATTCTGCTGGGCATCTTTTCCTTTTCCTTCTGTTTCGTTTTTCTCCCCCTCTTCTCCTATCTGCTTGCTGTTTCCTGCCGACCTTTTGCTCGTTCTGGTTCTTCCCTTGGACTTCTTCTATTTTGACGCCCGGGTGCTTGAGGAGGCATACTCTTGCACCCGTAGAACTGTAGTACCCGACGTCGAGAGCGAGGGGAACCTTTTATTGTCAATCCCCATTTCGTCACTGAACCCGATCTCGACGGACTGTCGGTTTCTTAATGTGGCGTTTGTGGGGCGTATACTCACGACGCACCCCTAGGAGGCCCCGGCAAGATCGGCGATAGCTTCTTGTTGGGTGTCCTGCCTCTAATTGTGGCTCCATGGTGGGTGTGGGGGCACATTCGTGAATGAATTCTTCTTTTCGTAATGATGATAAACCCTGTTTTGGCTGCTTCTGGTTTACCTTCTCAGGCTCGTGGGGTGGGCGACCAAGCCCCCGAGTCGGTCCGTCTTGGAAGACCGGGCTCTGTAGCCTCCGCTGCATTGGGCCCCGACCTTGCTCCTCCTTTGGCCTCTCTGACTCCTTCCCCTGGCTCCCCTCCCTCCTCTGTGGTTGGGTCGAGCCCCATGCCCCCAGTGGTGACTACCTCGTCCCCTGGCGCGGCTCCTTCTCTAGTTGTAACTACTGCGCCTTTTACCCCCTCTCTCTCTGGGGGTTCTCACTGCCGTCCTCGTCACGGCCGCCCTCGCTCGATTCCTTCCAGTTCTGCTACCTATCAAGCCTTGTTTGGTCCCGCTTCGTGGGCCAAATATTTTGATCTCCTCCCTCTTGATTCTGCGCCTCCTGACGATTTCTCCCTCCATCGACATCTCGTTGATTCCGTGGATGCCTCCATTACTTTCAACCCCACTCGTCTTGGTACACGTGTCGTTGCTGCTCCTTCTCAGGATGCTGCTTCCCGCTTGGCTGCCTTATCCTGCCTTGGCGAGACCCCTGTTCGGGTCTCGAAGAACGCTCAGTTGAATGCCAGTGTTGGCACTATTTTGCTCCCGCCCCATGTTGCGACCGGTGTTCGGGACCTGCGCGACTGCCACGACGATATTCGACATATCCTTGCTGCCCAGGGCCATTCTATTCTCCAGGTGGACACGTTTACTCGTCCCCCTCGTGGTAGTCGCCGTCAACCCCTCCGGGTTGTGAAGATTACCTTTGATGGTAGGACCCTTCCACCCTCTGTCATTCTTGCTGGTGCCAGGTGCTCTGTCCAGGAGTACATTCCTTCTCCTCGGCTCTGCAACAAGTGCTGGAGGTTTGGGCATGGTGCCCTCCGCTGCTCCGGGACTGTCTCTCTCTGTCCTTTGTGTGGTGGCAAAGGTCACTCTAAGTCGGAGTGCACTTCTCCCCAGGCTCGTTGCCTCAACTGCGGTGAGGCCCATCCTACCTTCTCCCGTGCGTGTGTCCATTACAAGCTTGAGGCAGCCGTCCTCAACTTGAAGCACCGGGAGCGTTTATCTTTTCCTGAGGCGAGACGCCAGGTTCGCCGGCTCCCGCCTTATGCTAATATCTCTTATGCTCGCGTGTTGCGCTCTTCCTCTCCTCGTCCTTCCCGCCTTCCTCAGACTCACAACCGTTTCCGGGCCTTGGACCCTGATGCGCCCACTGCCCCCTCCTCTGTTCCTTTGGGTTCTCTCCCGAAGGATCCTCCTCCTGGTCCTCTGTCTGGGGTTCCCCTTCCTTCTACCCGGTCTGTCGTGTCTCCTGTGTCTTCTTCCTCGTCTCCCTCCGTTCCTCCTTCCCATCCTTCCCCTCCGTCTCTTGACTCTCCCCGCCGCCTGTCGGTGCGGGCTGATGTCCATCGCTCTCCAAACGGCCGTCATGTGTGCTCTCGTTCAGCTTCTCCTGTTGAGACGCTAGAATCCGTTGCCCAGTACGTGGTTGCTGGAACACCTGTCTCTTCACGTCAGAAGCGTAAGCCTGGCTCCTCTCCTTCCTCCTTCCCGGCGGGTAAGAAGGTTTCGCTTTCTTCCTCGGCCCCTACTTCTGCCTCTCTCACTCCTTCCCCTCCCATTTCGGTGGTTGCGCCCCCTGTTCCTGCTATGGAGGTTTCTTTAGCCCCCGCTTCCCTCTCAGTTGCTGCCCTTGCTGAGGTACGCTCCCCTCTTTCTACCCCTCCTCTTCCTGCTGCTGTCCTTGCCTGCTCCTCTCCGTTGTCTCCTCCTCTTCCTCCTCCTCCTCCTCCTCCGGACCCCGCCCGCCCACCTCTGATCTGTTCTCCCGTTTCCTTCCCTCCGTCTTTGCTCAGTTTACCCATGCCCCCTAACCCTGACTTTGCTGACCCTGATCCCGACCCTGATATTCTTTAACGTGCTCTGTTGCTCTTTCGCCTTTGTTTCTTCCTTGTTCTCTGTTTTTGTCCTTTCTCTTCTCGTCGTTGTCCATTCTTCAATGGAACGTTCGAGGTTATTACGCTAATTTCCTCGAACTCCAACTTCTGATTTCGCGGTTTTCGCCCCTTTGTGTCTGTCTCCAGGAGCCGATGCTTGGTGCTCGTCCTGGTCGTTTTCGTGGCTATTCCTTTCTCTCCCCCCCCCCCCCAGCTGTTGCTGGGGCTTCTAATTCTTCTGCTCTTTTGATTCGTGCTGATGTTCCCTTTGTTCCTTTACTTTTTCCTTCACCTCTCCATTGTTCTGCTGCTCGTGTCTTTGTGGGGAAATGGTACACTGTTTGTTCCATTTATCTCCCCCCGAGTGTCCCGCTTTCTCTTCCTGATTTGAAACACCTCCTAGACTCCTTGCCGGAGCCTGTGCTCCTGCTGGGTGACTTCAATTGTCGTCATTCTGTTTGGGGTGACGTTCTGACGAATACCCGGGGTCGCCTTCTTGAGCCGTTTCTCCTCTCTTCTTCCCTGTCTCTTCTGAATTCTGGTGAGCCCACTCATTTGGACTCTCGGACTCGCACCCTTTCTTGTCTTGATCTTTCTCTCTGCTCTTCTTCTCTTTACTTAGATTTCACGTGGCAGGTTCTTGATGACCTCCATGGAAGTGATCATTTCCCCATCCTTGTTTCCTTTTTCTCTTTTCGCCCTTCCCTCTCTTTCCCTAGGTGGCAGTTTGCTAAGGCGGACTGGACCCTATTTTCCCTTGGTGCTACTCTCTCTGACCTCTCCCTTCTGCCTCTCTCTCGCGCTCTCCTCCTTTTTCATGACACTGTCTTCAACGCTGCCCTCCGCTCTATCCCTCGCTCTTCCTCCCGGGGTCCACGGAAGTGCGTTCCCTGGTGGAATGCGGACTGTGCTCGGGCTGTCCGCTGTAAGCGTGCAGCCTGGAAGAGGCACCGCCGTAGGCAGACGACCGATTCTTTTCTTTTCTTTCGGAAAGCGAGTGCGGTGGCCCGTAGGGCCATCCGTACGGCTAAACGTGAATGTTGGGCATCTTATGTCTCAACAATTACGTCCGAAACCCCTCTGGCCCAGATCTGGAAGCGTATCCGCAAGATAGCGGGTAAGTTCGTTCCCGATGTTTCACCGGTCCTTCACCTCCATGATACTCTTGTGGCGGACCCGTTGCGGGTCGCTTCCGAACTGGGTTCCCACTTTTCCTCTGTTAGCTCTGGTCTTCATCTTCCCCAATCTTTCCTTCTTCGTAAACCTGTCCTTGAGTCTCGTCCTTTAGATTTCTGCACTCATCTTCAGCTTCCCTATAATGATCCCTTCTCTCTCTCTGAACTTCGTTCTGCCCTGGCCCTCTGCGGTTCTACGGCGGCGGGCTCCGATGGTATTCATTATGAGATGCTTCGCCATCTCCCTCCGAGCACGTCTCAGTATTTACTGAGTCTGTATAATCGGATCTGGGAGTCGTCGTCAGTCCCTGAGGACTGGCTCGATGCCGTTGTCCTCCCTGTTCGCAAACCGGGGTCTCTGGGTACTTCCCCTAAGGACTTTCGCCCTATTGCTCTCATAAGTTGTGTCTGCAAACTCTTTGAACGTATGGTTAACGTTCGTCTGATGTGGTTCCTGGAACACCATCACCTCCTCTCCCCTTCTCAATTTGGTTTCCGCAAGTGCCGCAGCACGACAGATGTCCTGGTGAACTTGGAGGTCTATATTCGTACTGCTTTTGCTGCGAAGACCTCCGTTGTTGCCGTCCTTTTTGACCTGGAAAAGGTTTACGACACCACTTGGTGTTATCATATCCTATCTCAACTTCATTCTTTTGGCCTTCGTGGTCATCTCCCTCTCTTTCTCCGCAGCTTCCTCTCTCGTCGTTCCTTTCGGGTGCGCCTTGGTACCGCTCTCTCTCTCCCTCTTTTCAGCAATACGAAGGTGTGCCCCAGGGTAGTGTTCTGAGCACTACTCTTTTTCTGGTTGCCCTCAATGGTCTTCTTTCCTCTCTTCCTTCTGGTGTCTTCTCCGCTCTCTATGTCGATGATCTTACCCTTTGTTGTCAGGGTGATGATTCGCCTCTCCTTCAACGCCGGCTTCAACTTGCAATTGATGCCGTGTCGTCTTGGGCCACAGATCATGGCTTCAAGTTCTCTACTTCTAAGACTTGTGCCATGACTTTTACGCGGAAACGAGTTGTTCTTCGTCCCTCTTTGTCCCTTTATGGTCATCCCCTTGAATACAAAGATTCCGCGAAGCTTTTGGGGTTCTTCCTTGACACTCGTTTGTCTTGGTCTCCCCATATCTCTTACCTCCGTGTTGAGTGCTCTAAGGCCCTTACCCTCCTTCGGGTCTTGTCCCATACTTCTTGGGGGGCAGATAGGCGCACTCTCCTTGCTTTACATTCCTCTCTCGTCCTGTCTAAGGTCGATTATGGTTGCCCTGCTTACTCGTCTGCTTCTCCTTCTA